GCTGGGCCCAGCCGCCCCGCCCCAGCCCAGCCGGGTCCCCTCCCTTCGGCCCGGGGGGCGCTGGCCTGGGGCTTATTTTTTGTAGGAGGCGGAGGCCGAGCGCGGCCCCTTGGCTCCCAGAGCCGCTCGTCTTCTGCACGACCGTGGCTCCTCCATCCTGAGCCTGGGCAATTGCCGCTCGAGGCTCCCTCATGCCAATGATACCGGCTGATTCTGGTTTGGCGGAAGCGATTTGCAGTCCTCTCACACGCACGCTCCTGCGGTTGGATGGAGTTTGTGTCTGCTCAGGTCCTGACTGGCAAGTTACACCTCTCTCGGCTTTGGGCAAGGTAACCCAGTACAAGCAGCCAGCGTCGAGCTGTTAGCGGCCATTCGGTGGCAGGGCACCCAGACTACAGCGTGCATTCCGCTCCGGGGGAGCTCTGCCCCCACATGTTCACCATTCTGCACCGAAACACTCCACATCCCGCCCACTATATTTTAAAACGCTGCCTATTTTATTTGTCCAACTAATGCAATATAATCAAGCCCCTTTCGAGTATTTTGCCAATTTATTTTAACTACAATACAATGGATGAAGAATAGGAGTGGGGAGCATTGGAGGAAATTCTCACCCCCCCTGCTCTTGTTGCATAGTATACCTAGTATACCTTTTATTTCTAAAGCTTCGGAGGGGTAGCCCAGTTAGTCTGTAACTGGAAAAACTTAAAAAACAACAAATAGTCTAGCAGCACCTTAAAGACAATGGGTATGTCTACACTACTTCGAACTAGGGTGGTTTATGTAGTCAATCGAAATTGCAAATGAAGCCCGGGATGTAAATATCCCAGGCTTCATTTGCATCTTGCCGGGCGCCGCCATTTTTAAATCCCCGGTAGTTGGGACTCCGTGCCCGCGGCTACACGCGGCACGGAGTAGGTAGTTCAAATTAGGCTTTCTAATTCGAACTACCGTTACTACTCGTGGAATGAGGTGTAACGGTAGTTCGAATTAGAAAGCCTAATTCTAACTACTTACTCCGTGCCGCATGTAGCGAAGTTGCAAATGAAGCCCGGGATTTAAATATCCCAGGCTTCATTTGCATCTTGCCGGGCGTCGCCATTTTTAAATCCCCCTTAGTGCAGATGCTGTGCCCGCTGCTACATGCAGCACGGAGTAGGTAGTTCGAATTAGGTTCTCTAATTCGTGGAACGAGGTGTACCAGTAGCTCGAATTAGAAAGCCTAATTCTAACTACTTACTCCGTGCCGCATGTAGCTGCGGGCACGGAGTCCGAACTACCAGGGATTTAAAAATGGCGGCGCCCGGCAAGATGCAAATGAAGCCTGGGATATTTAAATCCCGGGCTTCATTTGCAACTTCGATTGACTACATAAACCACCCTAGTTCGGACTAGGGTGGTAGTGTAGACATACCCTAACAGAACAGTGTAGATGGTATCATGAGTCAGCAAATACATGCAGCCATGTGCTCAGTGGTACATCATAGGCAACTGAATAGCAAGTGAGGGCTGGCAATCAAACTCACAATTTGTATTTGCTACTACCCATCCCCAGAAAGGTCAGTACCAAACAGCTCATGGTTTATATTTTGATAGGAATATTTTCAGTCCAAAAATTTAGATTAGATCTGCTCACTAAGCACCATAAGCATTTATAAGACAATGATATCCTTTACACCACTCTGACCATGTAAAGGAGCCTTAAATTCACAAACAGACAATGATATCCTTTACACCACTCTGACCATGTAAAGAAGCCTTAAATTCACAAACACAATGGGACCAATTCACTAAGCAGACAGGCTGTTACATTCTGCTCTGCCCCACACCTCAGAAACACCTCAAAGCCTTGCCTCTTCAGGCTAAGTGTGCCATAGAAGAGAGCAAGAAGGATAGACTGTCTCTCTCACACAAGCAGAACCTGCCCAGGCTCTCCACCCTACCCCACCCAGCCCAGCCCAGTGGTGATTTACATCCCTACCCGCTGCTCCAGGTGTATGTCTACACTTTCAAGTTTTGGAGATGAAAGTGCTGTTGACAGGCAAAGGTCACCAAAACTGTAAACTCACCAAACTGGTTTTTCTGGTACCTGCTGTCAACAGCTCATAGCCACATTTGCAGCATAAAGCATTGTGGTATGCATCCCACAGTGCCTTGTATCACCTTCACTCACTAAGTACCTGTGGGAAAGCACAATGTAGCACTAGGCATGGTGGGAACGTGACAAATGTCCAGTCAGTCATCACTTTTTTCCCAGACGTCCCTGAGTTTCCAGCTTACTTCCACACCAACTCACAGGGTATGTCTACGCTACCCCGCTAGTTCGAACTAGCGGGGTAATGTAGGCATACTGCACTTGCAAATGAAGCCCGGGATTTGAATTTCCCGGGCTTCATTTGCATAAGCGGGGAGCCGCCATTTTTAAAACCCCGCTGGTTCGAACCCCGTGCAGCGCGGCTACACGGGGCACGAACTAGGTAGTTCGAACTAGGCTTCCTAGTTTGAACTACCATTACTCCTCGTGAAATGCAGAAGACATCATGCATTGCAGCATACCTAGTTATGGACCTATTAGCAAATGGTGACTCATCAGAATCGTATTTGGACTAACCAGAATCTGATACAGATTAATCAGAATCAGAGGACAGTGAATTGATATACTGTTTGGCTATGGCAGACCTAATACACCCATCTGATCATTGCTTTTTGTCTAGGGAGACCACCTCCAAACGGTCGGCTCGCCTTGTCATGCAGGTATGAGATGAAGAGCAGTGGCTACATAACTTTTGGATGCATACAGCAACCTGCCCGGAGCTGTGTGTTGAGCTAGCCCCTAAACTGCCTTGCAATGACACCCGACTGAGAGTTGCTCTGTCTCAGTGGAGAAGCGTGTGGCCATTGCTTTGTGAAAGACAGCCACTCCAGATTGCTACCGTTCTGTGGCAAATCAGTTTGAAATGGGCAAGTCTGCTGTCAAGGAAGTATTTCTGCAAGTGTGCATGGCAATAAATCGAATTTTGATTGAAAGGACTGTGACTCTGGGAAATGGGGATGACATAGAGGCTGGCTTTGCTCAAAAAGGTTTTATTGTGGCATGGCAATAGAAGGGACACACATCCCCATCATAGCACTACCCCACCTTGCCTCAGAGTACACGACTCGGGTACTTCTCCATGGTGCTTCAGGCACTTGTGGATCACCAGCGGTGATTCACAGACATAAATGTGGGGTGGTTTCTTGCCAGACAGAATGCTGCATTTTCACATCAAAAACTATGAATGGGACTATTGCGATTTCACCTGGCCCCAAAGCATCCGCTTCCGCACGGCTGGCTTGCTATCCTCCCTCCTCTGTGGGGTCCATGTTAGCCCCCGGCCTCTACCTCCTCGAGGAAGGCAGGCCCTCCCCGGGATTGGACTTCACCCATCCTCCCAGGGATTCTTTGGTTCCTCCTCCCTACCCTTCAGCAGCTAGATCAGTGGTTCTCAAACTTTTCGGCATCATGCCCCCTTTTTGATTTATGAAAAACCCTCATGCGCCCATGCCCCCTTTTTGATTTATGAAAAACCTTCATGCGCCACCCCCCAACAGCAAAGCTTGTTGAGAAAAAAAAAAAAAAAGGAACTGACCAGGACAGCAAAACTTGATTGGGGAGGGGGCTGGGTTGCCTTGTACCCCCCCTGGAATTTCTTCATGCCCCCCCAGTTTGGGAACCAATGGGCTAGATAGTCTTCCATAAGGATGACGGCTTCGGCTAGAGTTGCCGGCCTATGCCTTCGGACTCACCTTTGAGCCTTCCCCCGGCAAAATCTGTAGGAATTGCTCTAAAACTATCACGTCTGCCAACTGAGTGCTTGTTCGGTGGTCTGGTTCTAGCCATCTCCAACAAGCTTCCCGTAATTTCTGAGCCACTGCCTGCAGCCGAGCACCTGTTGGGTAACGCTCCTGTCGGAAACTTCTGCCTGTATGTTTCGGGCATCACCCTGACTTGATTTGAGAAGGCTTCTTTCACCTTGTAATAGTTTAGTGCACCCTTGGTTGCCAGGCCACAATATGCTAATTGGGCTGGGCCTGACAGGGCGCAAGAAGCGTGGCCCAGTGTTCCTTGGGCCATGTGGCCGTTGTGGCCAACCTTTCAAAGGTGACTAAATAAGCCTCGGGGTCGTCCTCAGGGCCCATCTTTGTTAATCGTATTGGTAACTGAGGGTTCCCTACCGGGCCCTCCTCCAGAGGTAGCATGGTTCCCCCACTGGTTCGCCCCACGGCTACGCCCTGCTGGAGCCATCGCTCCTGCTGGGACTGTTGCTGATCAGCAAGATCCTGCAGCAACTGACACTGCTGCTCCTGGTTCTGGCAGCCAATTGTTGCAGCAATTGCGTCTGTTGCTGCTGATGCTGATGCTGTTGCTCTGCCAACCATTCAAACATTTTGGTTGGGTCCATCTTGCCACCTGTCCCTATTATACCACTCCCCTTCTCTCTCTCTCTTTTTTTTAAGGTGTCCCTAAACCCAAAGGTTTGGACCCATTACCCACATTCTTCACCATCTGTCCCGATTTCACTGTGTGAGATAATGGGGATTTCCTGTGGTGAACTCGCTCAGGCCTCCAAGGGTCTCATCATGGGGAGTGCCCCAGTGCCCACTCCAGAACCGTGTTGCACTCAGATCCCTTTTCCACCCTTGTCCTGGTTATAGAAGGTTCATCACAGTCTCTGTTTTGTGTGTTGTTGTCTTTTAACCCTGTTCTCAAGGTCACAGT